CAACTAAAGTGACATAGATACTTTATTATGGTATAGTATTCATTAAATGTATGCCTGAGAAACACATTTGGCCCTTTAATTCACTGTGTGATGTTCAGAGGATTCAGATGAGACCGAGAAACGTCTGAATGTTGCTACCTGAGTTAGAAGAGCGTCGCTCCCGCTCCATGTGAGCCTGCATCTGCTGCTGCTGCTGCTGCTGCTCCATCATCTGCCTGAAAGAAGCAGGACGCTGCTCAGTTAGCATCACAAAACCCTGACGTTTAAACAGAAACCTTTTCTTACTTCAAAGCTTCACCAAAAATCAAAACAAGTGATTTATTAATATTTCAGAAGGGACAATTTTCTGAGCAGCAAAAACCATCAGGATAAATAAAAATACGTCCTAACATTTTAGGAAATTAGATTTTGAAATAATTGTTCTACTATAGAGGATAAATAGTTGGAAATATTTAAATTAAACACACTGAGTCAAATTAGTTCACTTAACTGTAAATCACAATGTTGTTTCTAAATTATTATAAAAGTTGTTTCTTTAAGGTGTGCAATGATGAATAAGTCTAAAAAATGTTGGTTTTAGAAGTCACAACATACAGTTAAAGGTTTAGACACATATGTGACATACTGTAAGACGGGAAACTCTAGGATCTGACCTGATGACAGCAAAAGTTGGGAGAAAGCAGGTCTGATTTAGGGTTTCTTTGAATATGAWTGCGAGAAAAATAAAAGCAAGGCTCTTAYAGTGGAAACAGGTGATAAAATAGGTGGAATACTTCTCATGGGGAAAACACACACAAATCATGACTAACTGCGAGTATCTTGGCAAGCTAGCTTCTAGTAGCTCCCATGAAATACAAGCAACAGCCAGATAGAGACAACCATCATCACCTTCCTAAAATAATCGTCAGGTCCTTCGTTGGCAAAACTGAGTTATGTGATTATTTTAGGAAGGTGTAGCTATAATTGTCTGCTTCAGTGGTGACCAAATAGCTGCTGGTTAGTTAACAATCAGGAACACCACAAGCAGGAGGCAAATATGTTTTAAAAAAATTATATTAGAACTATTGAAACTAAGTTAAACTAAAACTAAGCATTAGAAAAGCAATAATAATTACTAAAAATTAGCAAACCCACTCTAAAAAAAATTAAAACTGAATTAAACTTTTAAAAAGTCACAACTAAATAAAACTAAACTATAATAA